GGAGATGGGGGAACTTTTTTTTTTTGGGGGGGGGGTGTTATTTTTAATTTTTAATTGTTTTAACTTTTTTTTTTTTAATTTTCTACCTACTTCCATATAGCTACTTCAAATTGCAATAGCCAATTGCAGGCTGGCTATTGAACCCGCCCATTGCCTGCTGTGTTTCTTCTCCAGGTCTGCTATGGGGGGAACGGGGTAGCATCGTTCTCATTATTGATTATCATCGTTATGGATTAGTTGTTGCAGCCCTGAATAGTATATAGCTACAGTACATTTTTTGTTTTAAAGTTTTACCTTTTATTTTAAACTGGTCCTTGACGGTATCTATGCTGTGAAGAGGAATTGGGGAGAATGTTGTCAGCAGTGTTCCGCAGGCTGTTTTCAACACACCTGTCCTCCTCGTTCTCTTGTGGACAATGTGGTGCTCATGTAATGATTTATGAGTGCTGCACTGTCCAGGAGCACAAACAGTAATTAGGGGCTCCTAGAAGAAAAGGGAGCTTTAACATGCGAGGGGGTTGTTGTCCAGAATTGACTCTTCCTGGAGTAGTTACATTTGCTAGCAAGTTCAAAGACAGAGTGCAAGTGAATAAATAATTGTTTACAGAAAGGTAAAAAAAATGCAAGTAAGCATTTGGAATACTTGATTTTTCTGTGCTTTTATCTGTTTTAAGTTGTTGACAGGGTCTCTTTAAGCAGCAAAATTCCACAGCCCTAGGAAGTGTAGCTTTCAACACCAGAGTTTCAAATCTTTTCCGTACCAAAATAAATGACTTGTCACAGCCATGCACCCTGTATAGTAGTAGCGGTGAAAATTATTGTAAAAAGCATATAGGAAGCAAAAATGGAAAGACCTTCTTGAATAATACAATTAACTTTTGATGTTTGACACCTAATTCTCTAATCCTTGGGTTCGGTTCAGATTAATATGCTTTTTACTTACTCCACACGCATTATAGCTTCCTTGTGGGTCCTGAGTAAATCACATCACTTCAGAATAAAGAATTACACAGTTATTTTCCAGTGGCAGGTCTTTTGTGTTTTTGAGTCTCGGTGACGCCTATTACTGGGTCAGCGTGGACTTCTGCTTTGTCAGTTTGAGGGTTGGAAGGGCTTCATGGGCTTTTGCACTGTAATGAAGTCCAGTGGTGGCCTTTATAAGTACTGAAATTGCTGTTGAGCCAAGCTTGGCTTCCTATCCATTTGTTCACGCTGGCTGTATGTTTACTGTTTTCTTCCAGAAGAAACCAAAGATTCCGAGATTCCTGCAGGACCTCAGAATAGTCAGCTGACGTGGAAGCAAGGGCGACAGCTTTTAAGACAGTAAGTACAAGTGTATACTTTCATGACAGAGTTTGCTGAAGATACGCTCTATTACTCGTTGGAACACAGAGTTCTGGTGTTTTCTGCTAGAAAGACAATGAGCATTTTATGTAGACAGGATGTAGAGTGGGAAAATCTATTTACGATCTATTTACGATACACGCAGAAGTAGGAAAGAAGTTAAACGGTTATATGGGAGAAAGATATTTTGTTTATGCTGCTTTAATACTTGAAAACCTGTTTAACGGATGAGTTTATGCAAAGCGAAGCAACCTATAAGAACCTTTGTAGGTATGACTGATTGGCTACTTTAGGTCAATGCAATATTGTGCTTTACTTTGTTAAAGGAGAAGTATGAGGGGAGTAAATTATTCTCTCCCTGCTGCTTAGAGCCGGCATGGGACACTGCAGCTGTCACACGTCGGCTCTAAGACAAAAAACAGTTAGAGCGATTACATGAACTCTCAGCTCTCTGTCTCTTCTCCTGCAAAGAGCAGTCCTTGCTCCATGATTCCCTGTTACCCTCTCTGTCCCTCTGGAGTTGATGGGAGAGAGAGAAAAGGGCATGGCTGGCTGACCATATTGTGGGGATCCTACCCTATTGCGATGTGGCTCTGTGCTGTCAGCAGATAGCAGGTATTGGCCTACTATCTGCTGACTTTGGGTCACAGCTGTGAGTACATTAGTCAACGTACTCCTGTGTCCCAAAAAGTATTTGGCTTTCCTTCTCTTTTAAATAAAAATCCAGGCAGCAAGTACCGTGTTAGTAGGTTGCTAATATTAAATTGCACAATGTATCCCTAAGTGATGCATTTCGGTCTACCATAAGGAACTTGTCAGGATAGAACTTGCTTTGAAGGTGCGTGCTTGTGCTCTCGGGCTGTTAATGTTATCCTTTCTTTACTACTTAGTGAATCACAGCCTCAAAGCAAACGGGATGCTAGTTAAGTGTCGGGGCTTGTTTCAGATCAGTGATTCGCCAAGTAGTGAAGGGAGAAGTATGACAACCCTGTTGTCTAAGCTTTAAGAAAAAACTTATGAGCAATGGCAGCACCCATATTTCTAGCCCAACAGGTTTATTTGAATGCAAGTTTAATTTTTTTTTTCTTTACTAGATTTCTGAATTTTAGAGCCATGCCTTTATGATTAGATTTATAAAGAATACCTAGTGTCCACCAGCAAGATATTGTATAACCCAGCAGCTTGCATTGACATGATGAAAACAAATGCCCTAGGCTGTCAAACTGTACTCCTGTTATACATATTTGTGGTACATTTTTTATTTGATCTGGGTGTTGCTTTGCAAAGACAGTGTCATGTAATGCTTTGTATACCTGTGCAGAAGAGATTGAATATGAACCCCTCCTGCTTTCCACTACGCTCAACACTCTTAATTTGCAGAAAACTGGATCCCCAAATTCCACCATATCAAGTTTACTTACTTTTAAGGGAAACATTGTAGTATTTGATCTGTGCTCACTAAAAATATAGTATAGGTTTGCTTTAATGCTGAAACGTACTTTGCTTTGTCATAGCTTCTGTTCATTTCTGTTTACTATGTCGGTTTAAATCGCCATCAAAATAATTGTCTATATTTAGCTGCTACAGAAATATTACAGGTAGGCTATTATTAGGCTATGTACCTAATATCTGAGGAAGAACATCCCATTCATTGATATACGCAGGCAAAACCTAATGCTATGTCCATGACACTCTAGATATTTCCTCTTTGGAAAATTGGTGTTCTGGGTCTGTGTTACACGTAGTATTTTGGGACCATATATCCAATTTTTTCTTTTCTCTCTCAGTAAAATACAGAACCGATATAAGCATGGTATTTTTTATATTGGCTTTATAGTTTGTTTGTTTTTGTTTTTTTGTTGTTTTTCTTTTTTTACATAGGATAAAATTCAGATGTGTCTGTGCAATAGCAATGCTATGGAAAGCCAAGGATTTTCTGAGTTGGTTGAATGTGTTCTCTTCTGCAGGTATCTCCAAGAGGTTGGCTATACAGACACAATATTAGATGTTCGGTCACAAAGGGTACGCTCTCTGCTCGGACTTTCAGGCTCAGAGCCAAATGGCTCTGTTGAAACAAAGAACTTAGAACAGATACTCAACGGAGGAGACTCTTCTTCACTGAAACAAAAGGGACAGGAAAACAAAAGGTAATCTTAAACTCTGTTTTGCTCCTGCGCTACATCAGATACCTGTGTGTGTGCTTTTGTGTTATTTAGAAGTCTATTGGCAGATATAGTTTTATTCTACGAGACTTTTGCCATGTATTCCTAATTAAAAATAAAAATGTTTTGCAGTTGAAGGGAGACAGGCGTTTATATCCCTTATCTGTAACAAAAAAAAGTGAGAAAAAGCTTTTGACATATAAAAAAACTGTCTGTGGGCCCATGGCACTATGGGTCTATGAGCACTGTGCTGGTGCGCTTGATCACGACGCATCACACTGTTATTTTTTTGTTAGAAATTTATTGAGTGACATTTCATTAAGTTCTATGGACACATGGTGTGATGTGGTTGTACCATGTCACACTACACTGAAAAAAAAAAAGCACTACATGCCATACTTTTATTCAGAGCACAAAACCCGAGCTTGGTGGTGTGACCTGAGACCATCTGGAACAAGGCTGATTAGCTTGTATTTTCTTGCATTGCAGCTGTGTGGGGAAAAAAACGGCCAGTGCAGCCCCTACACATCCAGTGTGGATGGGCCTTAAATGCTTTCATCTATCTGGTTAATAGTTTATAATATAGAATGAAACCTAATACATGGCTACAGTTGTTCGTTCACATACCCGCTATAAATGCGGCTGCTCAGTTACCACAATGTGAAATCTGATAATTCCTAATAGAGTAGGTAAACCTTAAGGAATTAAATGAAATATTGTTCATATCTTAATGTCAGTACAACAGTTTTATTCTTTTTTTCATTCCAGTTCTTTGACTTGTAACAAAAAAAAACAACATAATTTTGTATCTGGTTACATTGTCCTTGGGATTAATGCATGCTGTGTATGTATTGTAAGATTATCTCCACACTCAGTAGTTGTAGTGAATGGAAGGATGTTGTTTACCTGAGACAGGCATTTTAATTGCAATTTAAGATCTCCTGTCTAAGCATTGCCAATTTTCCTTAGGTTTATTCTACAAATTAACAAGCCTGAACAATCCATTTTCTATCTTCATGAACTTTTTTGCTCAATTGTACTTTATGCAGTTTATTGCATATGCTAGTTAAAATGATTTGCAGGCTTTTGTTATTTTAATCCCATATGAGACATTTATAAAAGACTGATTATGATAAATTTACCCATTACCTGCGTGGTGCTGCTGTACATATTGTAAAGATACTTTACTGCTAAATGGCTGTCACTCAGTACAAAGTACTAGTCCACACACTAAGGGCTTGTTCACACGACTTCCGGATTGTGTCCGGACCAGAACTGTGCGCTCCTGCATCCCAATGTATCCATATGTGTTTTATAGGCTACAGTTCTCACGTGCGCGTTCCGGACCGGACAGAGAAAAATACTGCATGTCACATTTTGTCCGGTCCGGAAATGCACGAATGCAAAATACAGTAATACCTCGGTTCACGAACACTTCTGCTCGCAAACAATTCGATTCACGATCAGGAAGTTCGGCAAAATTTTGCTTCTGTTCGCGAACGCCAAATCAGGTGACGACCGCGGCCATCTTCCCTGCTCTGACGTCCCTTTTACATAACGATTGGCGACTCCCCTGCTTTACATTTAACACCTGCCCGGTACTACATGTCCCGTGCGTCGGGCGATAGGAATTGCACACCCCTGCATTTAATACATTATTAATCCCCAGCAGCTGCATTTAAAGTAGAGTGCAAAGACCTGCCTGGGACATTTCTGTATGTTGAACTCCTCCACATAAAGCAGAGAAGGTTACCTGATTTCCATCATTTAATGAAAATGTTATCTTTTTTTGTTTTGAGTTCAGCTCACCACCTTATGCTATTTTGTTTTATTTAGTTTTGAAGATATTCTCTGTTCTTTCTAGTATATTTATTGGATATGCTTGGATTCCAACATTCTATTACTTTTATGGACATATTACTACTGATCTGAAGTTTTTAGTTCTTCATGCATAATACTAGAATGAAGGACCATGCATCTCTATATACTAGAGATGCACCGATGCAGTTTTTTTGGTATCGAGTACCAATATATATATTTTTTTTTAATCGATGCTTGTCGATACCGGCATCCCTGACCAATCAGGAAGCCAAGCTACCCCTGCAGTGTTGCTAGGCAGCGTGAAGCCAGCTTCCTGATTGGCTGGAAAATGGCGCCATGCTGCCTTGTGGCACTGCCGGTCAAAGGGAGTTTCAAATGCTCAGTATCGGTGCATGCGTACTATATACCTCCTTGGTAACTTTGAAATGCATGATTTTTGCATTTTTATATCTTGTCCTAGATATATATTCATTTTTTTATTTTTTTTTATATAATATAATTGCACATTACTTTAGTTTTTTACCTGGGTTTCTTCTTTTTTTTTTTCTACTTATTTAGGCAGAGAAATAAAAGTGTATTCTATAACATAAGCTACAATCCCTGAGATGTATATAGTTGCAATTGTGTGTAATGTTTTTCTGATGGAGCATTACCCATACAAGTACATTTTGTCAGGTGTGACATTTATGGTCTTTCCTATAGGAACTCAGGTGATGTCCTTGAAACCTTCAACTTCTTAGAAGGTGCAGAGGACAGCGATGAAGAGGATGAAGGAGACCTTATAGAAGACGTCACTGATGGGAAAGAGAAACAACGATTAAACAAAAAACACAAAGTAAGCTCAAGACACCTTTTTGCATTATGTTTTTGCATTATGCTATAGCAGTTCATACTGCTCTGCGTTCCTGAAAAAGGGTTAGGTGCAGTTTTGACTTTCAAAAGTATTGTATTAAATTTTTAAGATAGTATAAAACAATAAGATAGCACATGATGCACTAACAGTATAGCATACAATTGTGTTTCAGAGTCTTCCACATTAGCATAGTCAGCTAGTAAGAGGGGATCACTAGAAACCATACACACAATGCATAATAATTCTGTGAAACAGAACATATCTATCCACCTACTCTTGCCAAATTATCCCCCATCAACAAAATCAAAACAATCTGAGAGGAATATCAGGTATAGGGATCCACCTGTGTATGAAGCAAACATTTGCTATGACCTCCTCCGTATCTATATACATAGAAGACTTTCCGTCAAAAACATCAATGTACTAAACGGCTCACGTGTGCGAGCCTAAAGAAAGAAAAAACAGACAAAAAGAAGAAAAGGAAAAAGATACTAAAAGAAACAGAACAGCTTAAGAGTCCAAAAAGAGTAGATCCGTCCCCGACCAGATAGCCCAACATCTACCTAAACATTAAACTTGAAACCCAGAAAAATTGTACAATGGAAGTTACCCGGTTTCCAGCACCCCTGTATATAACATCCAGGGAGTCCAGGTCAATTCAAAGCATTTTTCAGTATCTTGGAGGATGCTGTGAAGTTTCAAGTGGAATTGAATTGTTGCCAATTTCCTAGCCCTAGCTATGGTTATTTTGGCTGCCAACAAAAAGAAAGTAATTAATTTATCATAAGTTTTAGACAGTCCTGGAATCGGGCAATTCAGCAACACATATTGGGGATCTTGTGGGATCCTCACCCCAGAAACCCTAAATATTAGAGCATAAAGCCGGTTCCAAAAGTGTCTCAATCTAGGGCATTCCCACCATATGTGATACACCGTGCCCGGGTGAACACATCCCTGAAAACAATGAGGAGAAACCTCTGGGTATATTCTCGCTAGTCTGGCAGGAACCATATACCACCTAGATAACACCTTATAATTAGCTTCTATTAGTGAAATATTGAATAAACCCGATGACACACGGGAACAACATTGATGCCAGACATCCAGTGGAATAACCGTTTCCAGGTCCTGTTCCCAAGCTAACATATAGGTTAGGTGCAGTTTTGGCCACGCTCGGGTGTGTTGGAAACCATTCAAAATGAATGGGTTGCTTTAACACCATGCATGCTTATGTGCAACGTAAGATGTTGATGTGCATGCAGTGACACACTGAACAAGTATGACTCCCAACTTGGGGGAAGCACATTGTTATTTTAAAGTAAAGCACTCAGAGTACTCACTCAGCTCACCAGAGCCAAACACATAACAATCAGTTGTCTAAAACATGATCATGATTTTTTTTTTTTTTTACATGGTGCGATATGTCATTTACTTTGACTAAAAATTGCCTTTTTTAACCTGTTGCATACTTTGGACACCCTAAGTAGACCCTCAAAAACGTCAAAGAAGCACACAAGTCGCAGGTAGTATGCCCTGTCCATTGCCCTACTGCTCTTAGTGGCAGTGTCCTTTCAAATGACAGCTGGGACTTACCGAGTAGTGCAACAGTGTGTCTAGTGTCTGCTATCAAACTGTGAACCCTGCTCAGAAGCGTAATTCAGAGATGTAAAGTACCGTATTTGCCGGCGTATAAGACGACCCCCTACTTTTTGTGTTAAAATATAGGTTTTGGGCTATACTCTTCGTATAAGACGAGTATAGCCCAAAATAATGTTTCATTGCCTCCATGGCGGTATTCCCGAGTCTGGCTCGGGGTTAATTTTCAGTACCAAAAGTGGTAACCCCGAGCCACACTCGGGATTCCAGTCTCTTACCGTGTCCTCCATTTTTCCGGGTTCCGTCCTTCAGCTACATACAGTATACCGTGCTGAGCCAATCATGGCAGGCTTTGTATTCATTAGTACAGGCTTTTTATTAATGCATACAAAGCCTGCCGTGATTGGCTCAGCGCGGTATACTGTATGTAGCCAAAGCTACATACAGTATACCGCGCTATTCGTACCACATACGAACAGTATATCCGGCGTATAAGACGACCCCTGATTTTCAGGCAGTGTTTTTGGGTCTAAAATCCCGTTTTATACGTCGGCATATACGGTAATATTGTATAATTTGTATTTACTCGGTCATTCATATAAGATCAAAGTGCTGGCCTTTAAAGTGTATTTCCACGTTCGCAGTCAAATTGAGATAACACCTACTTTATGTTTATTACCTGTTCCTACTCTGTGTTCCCATTGTAAAACCACATAGAAAAAAGACATACACACGTTTTCCTTTTGCAGTATTATGTATGTACCTCTCAGGTTTAAAATGCCATTGCTTCTAACTAGTGAAAATTGCGATGTGCTATGAGGTTTTTGTGATAAAGATAAAATATTGGCAGATAAAAAAAAAAATAATACTGTTTCCTAGTGGTAATAAAAAAAAGATTGAGCATTCTATTTTTTTTTTTTTTAACTATGTCTAGTTTGGCAATATGCAAAAATGTGTGACTGATGATATGTGTAAACTTTCTATAGTTTATATATTCACTTACTAGAAAATACAATTTTATGAGACTTTTTTTTAAAACATTTTATATGTTGACTGTACATTCAAATAGCTAATTTGCTCAGTTCCATGCCGAAACAGAGGAACTCGCGGCATCCACAGCCCCGAAATGTGCATATGAATTGTACAGAAGAGAAATATAGAATTGTAGATTCCCCTGTGCTAAACACAAGAAACTAGCTATAGAGAGCTATGCTTTATTGTCTGCATGGCCATCAGTCATTGAAAGCTCGAGGAAATTGTGTCCACATTCGTTTTATTCTGGTTTTTAGACTGCTAAATCCTCTGGCCAAGTCTGAAAAGCCTGTACTAATGCAGAATCCTTCTGCTAGAACATTATAGTTTGCTTGTTTACTTTTGTGTTTACATTTTACACTGGGGAATGATTGTCTGTGAATATGAAATTTAGCTGAGTGAGGGGAAATCTCTTCAGAGCAGACACAAACCGCCAGTAATGTGCAGAAGGCTTGATTCCTCTTTCAGGCTTTTATAGCTGTCTGCACTTCTGTTGGAGATTTCCCCTCACTCTCTACACACAAGCCAGTACTAAAAATAACCTTTTTTGCTTTTGTTGTAATTTCTCGCACTGGATAAAGTAGAGCAGGGTTTAGAACCCCTGTCAGTTTATTTTTCTTTCTCATCCATTGACAGCCACACGAAGTCTTATACTGTCAGGTTATAGGAAGATTGTACAAAGAAAAAAAAAATCTGAAGGCTAGCCCAGGTTTACGCCCTCCTATTCCCAGCAATGCCTCTGGATCTGCCTTTCCCCATACCAGCATCCTGGGGTTCCATGTTAGGTGCTTTCTAGGCCCTGTTCTGATGGCCACATGGAACCCTAATCTCCAGTCTCTTCCTAGTGCCTGTCTACAGTGATCATATCTGGCCTTCAGAACCTTAACGGCTACCATCTGTCTGGGTTTAGAATACCTGAAGCCTTGCCTTGTACCCTAAACAAGTTGCATCACTGCTGTCACAACTTGTCTGTTTCTAGACACAGAAGGGGTCTCCCTCTGTATGTCAGCACAACTTTAGGAGCTGTATCCCAGCTAGGTATGATGTACTTAGTGGTATCTCATACCCATCCTTGTCGTCAACCCTTTCCTTCTCCTGGGGGACCCACTGATTCAGTCAACTTGGATCAGCAATGGTTGTGCCCTGCCCAAAGGTGCTCTGAATCTTCGACCCTTGACCTAGTAGTCCTCAGAGTGTTGGCTCTAGTGTCTTCCCTAGTGCCATCTTTTGGTATCGCTATCGTGCGACACTCAGACAGCCTCCTGTGAAGAGGGCAGTCACCGTGGGTCCCTGCTGGACTACTTGCCTTCAACATGGATAGTCTACCTCGGCACTCCAGCTGTGGTGAAGCTACATATCATTTCATGCATGCAGTTGACAGTCTTGCAATGCCTCATTGTATTTGTAGTTTCCCCACGCTGGGGTGTGACGGCTGCCTACCCCTGGCCTACAAGCTTCATAAGGGTCTAGTCTCTTTGGTTAATGGCTCTGGAAACTGTCAGTCCCCTGTAGGCGATGTTACTCGGCATAGTGTTTTGGTCTGGGGAATCATGGTATGTTATGCATGGGGCTACCCATGCCGGAGCATTTGGGTTTTGAAGGACAATCCCCTCCATGCTACTTCCTCCTCTACCATTTCTTTTTAGTCTACCTCAGATCCCTTACTCTTCTGTAGTGGGTTTCATGTTTGAACAGACATGTGAGTCTGCCTATTAGGATTAGGATCAGACAACTAAAAAGGACCCCTCTCCCCATCTCGGGAGGTTCCTCTTATCAGAGAAATATTGTCTCCAGTTCTACAGTTTGGACTCCTAGAACAGGTTGTTTTTTTTTTTTACCCTGCAGGATCTCTTTGGTTGAGTTTCCGGGTTTGGACACCGCTAGATACCATCTGAGTATCGGTGTGTCTTCACCGCAGAGACTAACAGGAGTACCTCCTGCGTCGGGTGAGGCAGTTTGGTTCCACTTCTAGATAAGTGCATATTAAGTTGTCTCTGCACTTCTCTCAGTAAGGGTGGTTTTCTGAATGCCAGTTCTTTACTGGTAGTTTCCAGACATAAAGAAGAGATTCATGCGCCAAAGTGAGTCTTGGAACCTTCGTGGAAGGATGTCAGAAAGGGATGCCCTGGGCTGTCTGCAAGTAGAATAAACAAATCTCCTGCTGCAGATATCCTAACATTCACAGGGAATGCCTTAAAAACCTTGTTGGACCTGTCCACCTGGGCTTAGGCCCCCCTTCCTTGATTTGCAAAATTGTGAGGATATTTCTGGAGCTTTTCTCTGTTTCAGATTCAATTCAGCTGTCCTGATAAGACAGGAGTCCCTTGTAAAGCTGGCCATACACCTTACAATTATCGGCAGATTTTCTGTGATCAGATGGAAAAGGTTCCAACAGATTCCTCCATCTACACTTAACTGTGTGGATGGAGGAATCTCCACCTGGGCCAATCTGTTGCACTTTTTCCATCTGACCACAGAAAATCTGCAGATAATTGTAAGGTGTATGGGCACCTTTACATGGGTGCTGCTGCTTTGCTTTTGTTTTTTGTGTGTGTGTTTGTTATACCCCTTGGTGGGTTGTGCTTGGCGGTACTCCATTCTGTACTGATCCCATTCCTCTCTGGTGTCCATTTTGTCTTTGGCATCAGGGTGAATTTCCATGCCTCCCTCTGGTCATTTTGGTAGGTTCCCATATCAGGTAGGGCACTTAGCTGCTGTTCATTTTGCGCATCCCTTTTTTTTTTCTTCCTTACTGTAAAATCCTTTTCTTGGAGTCCGTTGAGGGTCAGATCCCAACCCTCTGTATTTACAAGCCAAAGCATGCTGGGTAGAGGAAGGGTTATTCTGGGCTGGCCCATACATTTTTTTTTGTTTGCCGGTATCCTATCCTTCTGGAGGCAGCAGTATAATCTGACTGTATAATACGTCTTTAGTTCCTCAATGGGCTGAATGACAAAGTTTTTACAGGGAAATACAAAAATCCAATTTTTACTATGTCCATTTGGGCAGGTTTTCTGCACTTCCGATGTTGTTGTAACAGTAAATGAAAATCTCTCCACATGAGGGAAATACCCCTCTTAGAAAGTTGTCACAGAAACTAGGGTCTCCAAAGGACTTTCTGTCTTCATGACAAAGGTCACCAGAACTAATAAAGAGGGCGAATTGACCCAGAGGGGGTGTAGGCAACAATGAAGACCTGAAAGGGATTATAAATCTTATTGAAAATACAATTTAACATGCTGCTGTGCACATGTGGGAATTACAGTGTAGCATTTGATAAAGATGCTGGAAATTCCCCTAGTCTCCATTTTATGATTTAGCCTTTGTTCTATGAGATGTGGGTAAAGTTACTGTACCGCTGGTAAGCTGTAGGCTTTTCCTTGGGTTTTGGAGATCACTGTAGTTTATTAAGTTGGATGTCTGTCTTTTTGCATATGAACTGTGCACAATTTAGACTTTTAAGCCTCAAAGGCAGCATCTCATTAACTCTAGTGACGCAGATGGGGAGAAAACTTATTAGGATTTATTTTATGTTCTGTTCTAGCGTAGCAGGTTGCTCACTTCCTCTAAGCATATTTTTTGGAGGCAGTCTATTAAATAGGCTATTTTGTAACGGAATCTGTCAGTAAAATTAGCTTTATTTTTAATGGATGTGATTAGTAGCTAGCCTTTAAAGTGCATCTAAATTCAAGAACCAAAATGTAATATATTGCAGTTTACCAATCCATAGAGATGGTGGCAGCAATGTTTTTCTTTCAGGCTTTTTTTTTTTTCTCCAGTTTTAGTTTGATTATCCGGCCAGTAACAGAATTCCTCTCCTTAGGTAACAGTACCTGCCTGGGGCAGCATTGTTACCCTAGGACAGGAGGTAGGTTGTTCATAGAAGCACTGTACATTGGACAGGGCTGATGAGATTGCACAAGGTAATTTTACAGAGTGCACAAGACAAACATGGAGTTTTGGCATCATCAGCTGGTATTTTTGCACTTATTATATAGCAAAATTTCAAAGGGAAGCAAGTAGCAGAAGTACATTTTTTTTATTTTGAGTCATTTGATAAACCTTGAAACTGAAAACATAAAAACGGAAATGAAATTGGCACATAGTGGACAAATAATTTAGGTGCTTGTCCAGTCTGGTAGCTGGAACCCACTTTTTTGATGCCAGGGTACACTAGCTGGCTTACTGGCTCTTCGGTTTATCTGGCAATAAACATATAATATCTTTACATCTGATGTCCTTTTTTAGGACTTCCCTCAGCATTGCTCATTCAGTCCTCTAAACCACCGTCCGGTCCTCCTCACAAACTTCTAATTTCTCCAGTCACTAAGCCTTCTCATGCACGCTGTAGTCATTCAGTCAGTTTAATCTCGTATCCTTCTCGTTCATTTTTTAACCCAGTCGTTCAGCTTCCTCACACCATCGGCCTCCTTAACCATCCTTCTTTCCCCTCCTAAGCCCAGTCACTGCCAGTGCTCCCTAAATACCGCAATGCTATAATCATTTGCTCCCATTTTAAAACACTGGATTTTAATGTCTAATTCTGGTCTACTTTTGTGCACATGTACGTCACAATCCTTTTGTGTTAAACCTCTCCTGAAAGACAGCATTAATGGATAGCCAGGGGATTTAGAGTGCAGGGAATACATGTATATCTGTGGACTCTGGTGGCTATTTTGGGAGAGAATGTGTTCTAGCTGGTCTCTACAGAATAAGGGACCTGGGTGTGATTGAGCCTTAAAGTGACACTACACTAAGGAGTTAAATCTTAAAAAAGCATTCAAGTACCTCAACTATTACCAAAAATGTATCTTATTTGTGTATCACTCGGCTGTAGAGCCTCAAATCATCTCTGATACTGTCCTTCCTCCTTCTGGAGGGTGGCTATTTTTGTTCCCCATGTTCACTGTGTGTGTTGTTAAGTAGCCACCACTCCAAGCTCGCTTTCGTGATGGACTACAACCTCATGCTTAGTTTACTCATTTGTATTGAGATTATAGTCACTGCTCTCTGCAGGGAGTTGATCAGGAACTGAGCAATCGGCGGTAATTTATCTCTCATTTCACGATCAATAGAGCCGACGTGCGACAGCTTGTGTCACGCGTCGGCTCTAATTATGCGGTTGAGTGTAATTCACTCAACTCGCCCCATAATTCTCCTTATGTGATAGCACACTGGAAGTAACAGGTTCTCTTTAAGGACAGATTAGGGGTCTATTAGACCCCTAATATTACCTCTGCAATACATTGAAGCTGATCAACCACAGATTGTACTTGATTAGCTCCTCCCTCAGCCACAGCAACAGGGGAATGATGGCGCTGAAACCAGTAGTGACGAAAAACTTGTCGCTTCCAGCTTTATTCACTTCAGAGAGCAGATGTCAATGGTTGTCCACTCTCCCTGATGACACCTGCCATAGACTTCTTAGCCGGTCAGGACCATTTGTAACAAGACAACCTGCAGAAAGAATGTACATGTCTGTTTACGACGGAAGGTGTAAAGGCATCTGTGGCAGTGAAAGGAACTAGCTTGGATAGCCTAGTTGGAAAAAATGTTAGTGTATCTAAGCCCAAAACTAAAAATGTATTCAATTGTATTATGTTATAAATGTAATATATTGCAGTAGACCAGTCCTTAGATGTGGTGGCTGCATTAGTTTTCTTTATTCACGCTTCATTTTCCACCTGATGATTCTGTCTGGTACACAGTTTCGGTTCAAGGATGACAATGTTCACTTACCATACTGTAACAGGACAACAGAAACAAGATAGGGCTACACCGATCTACTCCGCTCCATTATATAGGGGGGGGGGGGTGTTCTGTAGTCCACAGAGATGCAATCAGTCTACCTGATAACTTCCTGTGCAGATTGTTATGAGCTCGCAAGATTTCTAGCAAGATCAAATGTTATATTTTGCACTTATCAAACAGATAATAACAAAACACTTTAAAAGGAACAAAATGAGTAGAGTTTATTGTTGGGGTTTTCATACCCTTTAGTGGGAGGCAATATAAAAAGGAGTGCATATTCTCATGTACACAATGCTCTATATGTAGATGTATAGCCTTGCATGGGATGCATTCACACTTAATGTTTCTGCTCTTGTTCACAGATTGGAAATGAAGGTTTAGCTGCTGAACTTGCTGAAGATACAGAAGAAGCACTGAAAGAATTTGACTTCCTTGTGACAGCAGAAGATGGAGAAGGAGCAGGTGAAGCAAGGAGTTCAGGAGATGGCACTGAGTGGGGTAAGACGAGCACTGTCAGCCTTCCCTTTAATTCCTGGTTATCTAAAACTGATTGACAATTTGGCATAAAAACTTGAGCTAGATGAAGGGAATCTGCAGCATGGACAATGCTGCCTTATGCCGACTCGCAAAAATGTTGGCCAATGCAATCTTTGAAGAATAAGTGATTACTTGTCACTCTTTTTGCCCTAGGTAAATACTGCTTAATAGGATTTCTGCTGACCCAGCCTCATTAGCTGTTTAGAAAAGGCTTTTTTACTGTACAGGGTCTTTACCAAGCATTTTCCCTTCTTTTTCCAGGTCTTGGTTACTATTTTATCCTTAAATTAACTTTTTATTCCACAATTTTTAAGGAAAAATTTCATTCTGAGTAATCTGATTGAGGGCCCATTCACACCATGTCCGGATCATCTCCATACCAGACTGTTTCCGGACCCAAAATGTATCCCTATGCTTTTTTTGGCCTCTATTCACACCAGCGCAGTCCGTACCAGACCAGAAACATACTTGTCCTATTTTGTCTGGTCTGGAATGCACTGGAACGCATACCAACGCACCTGTAGGACCATTTTAAGCAACAACAAAAGATTCCAAACGCGGCAAAAACGCAATACACTGCATTCCAGATCTGCTCTGGAAAATGGTGTAATCCTGCTCTAATTCGATATTAGGTGTGGTGGTGCCAAAGCTTAGTGAAATTTAGTGCATGTCTCCACTCTAGTAGGTTTTTGCCTGCTGAATGGTTTGACATGTTTCCCTACTTCTGCCCTCCTGCAAGTAGACTCCATTCTTATTAAAAGGTATATACAGTATTTTCATGGGGACAGCTACATTTGCACATTGTATACTCAAGGTCTGCTTCCTGCTTTCCACTCTTTCATAATAGTTGTGCATTATTGCTCCTTTTCAAATGGATGTCGGAGTCTGCTGTATCATTTAAAACCGTTCACTCCTCTGTGATTGTTAATTATTTAAAGTGACACTAAACTCAGGAGTAAAAACTTCAAAATGCATTCAAGTACCTCAACTGTTAACACAAATGTATCTTATTTGTGTATCGCTCAGCTGCAGATACTCAAAACATCTCTGAATTGGTGCTGACATCGTTCTTCCTTCTGGAGGGTGGCTACTTTTGTTCCCCATGGTCCCTGTTTGTATTGTAAAGTAGCCACCGCTCCAAGCTCACTCCCATGATGGACTACAATCTCATGTTTAGTTTAGTTGCTCCTGTCATCCTCCACCTCACGACTACCACTGACCCGCCGCCTGTCGGTATCCCCCCACCGCCGCAATCACGGCTCTTGCACACCGCCCCACCCCAGTCTAACATAGACCAAACATTGCCATTTACAGTAGCAGTCACAGCAGCACTGCCAGAACATCGTCCAGTCTCCTGCACACAGTTTGAAATTCCCATCCACACAGCGGGGACACGGACTGAGCCCCTGTTCTGCCATTCCTTCCTCGTTCACAACTCTCCCCTTGGACGAGCACCTTCGGGCAGCAAACCAGCCACAATCGGGCAGACACCCCGGACATCCCGATCCTCCGTCTGGTCCCCGGAACTACATGTAAGTCCCAGAAACCTTTTTCCTGTAATGATCTGCCCAGATTGTTGGCTTTCAATATGCCTTTGCGCCCCTTGTGTGTTTTTTGATTGTTAAATTTACAGGTACTCCTCCTGTTTCTCAGGGCTGCATGCTAGTCAGGTATCCATAACCAACCATTTAAGTTTTTTTATCTGAGAGCGCTTTTTGAGCTGTCTTTTTTTCTTCTAATGTTAAGGAGGAGGCTGTGGAAAGTTATGTTTACTCTGATTATCCATGTCTGTTCTTTGCTGACAGTTTTCATTATCGGTTGTAAATTCGATTAGAACATTGTCCTAACAAAGGGTTAAAGACTTAGAATCAATGTATGTTAACTAGGAGAATTTCCTCTCAAAACCATAATTGGATTTTATTTTATCATAGTTGGAAAGCAGTTAAAGCATAACTTTAGTATTTTAATGTCCAGCCAGTTGGCTGCCATGTGCGTAGCTGTATATGGTACCCACAAACAATTATGTGATGTAGTCAGAAAACTTTAGCCCTGCGATTTATTTTCTTTTGTTGAACATCCAGGTGGAAAGGAGTATTTTTCTTAATCCTTGGCTACATGACACTGCTTGGTATTCTGGAGCCATGGCTTTTGCAGCTTATTGGCAGGATATTGGACACTAGCAAACAAAGTTGTAAGGACAGCCCTGTATAACCCCTCCCACTCCCAGCAAGCCCCTTTTTTTAACTAATGTCCTTAGGAGAATGGATGTCTTCTCTCTGAGCGAGGCAAACTGCTTTCTTTTTTTCTTGGGGTTTTTCTTTCGAGATTTTTTTCTACTAGTAAGATTCTTTAGCTGCTGCAGAGCCACTAATGCTCAATTTTGCAGCTTCTGGATCGTTTACTCCTCAACTCTGTCCTGGGTAATGTACCCAGACCCCGCTAGCAAGAAGGTGCGGAGCTAGCCTGTAATGTTTCCCTTTAAAGGAGAACTATGACATGAGTGATTTCCACTCACGTCATAGTTCTAAGCCGACCTAGACCCTACTGTGTTAGGCACCTGGTGCAGTGTGTTTTGGTTAACAGCAGCTGGGTGCTCTACAGATCCGGGGCTGTGGTACACCCAGAAGAGGGAAAGGTTCCAGGTTTTCTCTTCAAAGCTATTTACTGCACCCAAGACAAAAAGAGGCATTCTACCAATACTGGATCTAAAGATTCTCAACAGATTTGTTTCTTTTAGATCAAAAATAATCAATGGAATCCGTATGGTCAGTCATAGGTTCCTTTTCCTCATCCGAGAGTACTTGCCTCCTGTGGATATCAGGAATGCTTACTTGCACATCAGCACTACCTGCATTTTGCTGTGGGCACACAATGCTATCAATTTGGGTCTTCACCAAGGTGCTAACAACTATTCTCACTTTGCATTGTTCTCCCAGTATCTCCATGGTGCGATATCTGGACAATCTACTGCTGTGGGAACTCAGACCCTGTCAGCCAGTATCTAACAGACAGTGCAAGGCCCTGTAGAGGTTCAGATGCATCCTAAATCTCCAGCAATCCGCAGTGGATTTGACTCAATGTTTTGAAGTTTCCTGGCCTATTCTTGAATACGACCGTGTCCAGGGTTTTTCTTCCCTCAGTCTCAAACTCGAGTCTATTCAGTCCCTTGTTCAGACCCTATGGTGCAGGAGCCTCCCAATCCTTTGCTTTTGCATGAGGTTTCTGGGCCTAATGGTGGCCACCTTTTTGAAGCCATCTCTTAATACGCAGTTTACTCCAGACCATTGCAACGTAACTTTCTGGCAGCATGGGACAAACTGGATTGCCCCAATCTCTGGATTGCCTCCTGGGGAGGAGTCCTGGATGCTCTCTTGGTACAGGTTACTTTGTTGTGAAAGCAAACTTGGCTCCCAATCCGTATTTCAGGGCTCAGGGCAAAGCGGATGTCTCTTCAACACTGGACCACTTGGCTGCAAGGTCACGGGACCAGGATTTAGACTGGCAATGTCACGGCAATAGTAGGCACGGCAGGGAAGCACCAAAATTTGTGCAGTTTATAGAAAAGCGGACCCTACTTTCTGGTGCTGTATGTATGAGCCCTAAAGGAATCTAGATAGCAGTAAAAACCCAATCATGCTTCTAACCCTTCCCCAATGTATCCAAAAGTAAGAAAAAAAGTTTGGACCAGACATGCAGTACACTTCATTCTGTGGTAGGTCAAGTGATTGTATAGTGTAAAGCTTTTAGAGTATATGCTCCAGAAACGTCTACGCTAATGTTATTGACTAGTAGGCGAGCCCTTTATCTACTTAATGCAAAACAAGTGAAAGTCAGTGGCAAGATTTTACTGCTTGCTTTCAAGTTTAGATATTTTGAGGCAGAATCTACTACTAAATATGCAGTTGGGGACACCAGAGATCAATAACACGCATATCCATCATGATAGTTTAATTGTTTGTGTACTTTCCTGTCACTGTTTGTAACCTCAATGCTACAAATCATTGTGTTAACAATGCATGATGCAGTACAATTCGCACAAATATTAGCACACATTTATATGCACTTCTCCAAACCTTTCCCTCCTAACCTACTAATAAGTGGTATTGATATAGTTACTTCCATTGTAACTGAAGCTCACACTAACGTACCGCTCATGTGTTAACATGTCCTCTCTCTTTTACTAACATGCTGCATGCAGACAAGGATGTCCTGTCCCCAACTGCTGAGGTTTGGGATGTAGACCAGTCTCTGATAAATAAACTGAAGGACCAGTACACAAAGGAGCGCAAGGGAACAAAAGGGGCCAAGCGTAAGTGGAGATAATGCCTCAAACTGTATATCATTCCATAATTCTCGATAGTGTCTGTGTTATTCGTTTGAGCCATTGAGGTGAGAATGCAGTTGGTGCATTGTGAAAATTGCTCTGCAGAGGAGTGTAGAAAATATATCATCTACAACAAGCATATTTCTTGTGTTTTACAGAAATATATTTTGGTTGGTGTCGGTTACATTTCTACATATTTCCTGTAGACCAATTTAATAGATATCAATGTTTTGACATCTCAAACACTGTACAAGTTATCGTTTTGGGGTAACATCCATAATGTCTACAAATACAATTATCTGAGTCTTTGGCTTTTTGAAACTTAATGAGTGCTATAGTAAATCGGGTATGTAACTGCATAACACCCGATCATTAACTTGAGTGGGTGATAGCTGCTGCTTGTAAATGGCAGGAAAACGCAAGTTCCTGACGCACGAATACCTAATCGCACCTAAACATATAGGTGTCAATGGGGCCTAAAGGCTTGCCTATCATACACATTTATGTTTATAATTAACACAGATAATGTACCTAAAGCACAGAGTATTGATTTGGTAGCCAAAGGTCCAAGCTGTATGCTAGATGGAGATAGATGTGCCCCTTATGCTCTCGTGGCTTATTTGGCAACAAAGGGAGGTAAAATATTGTAAATTCCAACTACTGTTATTTTTAAAGCAACTTCAGGGTAGATGGGGCGATCAATTCAAAAACGAACCAACACTATTACTTTACAGGGGTAAACCGGACGAAATTGCACGATATGATTGCAGACCTGGGTGATGAGGATCTGTCCCACCTCCCGCCGGGCATCCTGAGTCCGGCCCGATCACCAACCAGAATAACAGATCATGAAGGTGGGAGGGCAGAGGAAGGTACGCACCCCTTGGGGAAAATTCATTATGCTTCAACCTATTACATGTTCTGATTCCTCAACTGTTGTTTATAGTGTGTCTTATACAATTTTTTAACCCGAGGTTATATATCAGCATTTTTAATTTTAGGTGTTGTGGTAAGAAATATGTTTTATATAATTGCTTTCTCATTTTGCTAACAAAGTGTTTTTTTTTTGTGTTCATAGCTGAGCCCATAACCTTTCCATCTGGTAGTGGGAAGTCTTTCATAATGGGATCCGAAGATGTCCTTGAGAGCGTGTTAGGACTTGGAGACCTAGCAGACCTGACTGTGAGCAATGAATCGGAGTACAGTTATGATGTAAGGAACTGTAACAAAAGTTAACATGCATTGTTTTTTTGTTCTAGCGAGATAGAACCATTTTTTTTTAAAATGTTAATTGTTGGTTAGACTCAATTAAAATCTTAGTCTTGTGCAGGTATAACCTGGTTGTCAACTCACTGAACAGCTGGTAGCTCCAAAACGTTAGGTGTTACTGGCTGCTCATGTCCCCAATGATCGAAAACCAATCAGCTATGACATATTATTCAACCCCCATTGCAAATCAGGTTTGGCAAAATTTTAAAACATTCAGTTGTTTGCACTAAACAAATGTTTCAAGTGGTTTTTCCAAATTCAAAATGCAACTTCTAATGACTTCTTCAGTCTCAAAATTATTCAACCCCCTAAATAGACTCCGTTACAAGAGCGCGCATCTGCAAAACAGGAGATGTCTCAAGCACACCTGATGCCACGAATCAAAGGCCTCATTAGTTGCACCAGGTGTGCTTGAGCTAGTACACATGAAATACCTGAACTGGTTAGGGGTTTGTTGAGTGTCATTTGACTGCATATTAGAAATATGGCTAAGTCAAAAGAATGGTCAAAGTCAAAGAGACTTCAAAGAGTAGAGATCATTGCTGTTCACAAAGATAGTGAAGCATTGAATGTTCATAGAGACACCATTGGAAGCATAGTTCGCAAAATCAAAGTTTAAGAAAGAGTAGTTACACTACCTGGACGGGGGCAGAAAAAGGAAGCTATCTATGGCTGCAACCAGATATCTCCGAGCGTGTGTTAAGAAAAACCCTCAAGTGACTGCAAAAGACCTGCAGCAATATTTGGTGGCAACTGGCACTGAGGCCCTATGGACCAGTGGGTATGTCTGGAGGAAGAAGAACGAGGCATTCAATGACAATAACACTCTGCCTACAGTTAAGCATGGAGGTGGCTCGGTGATGCTTCAGGGCTGCTTTGCATCCTCTGTCGCTGGAAACCTGTGTGTGTAAAAAGCAAAATGGATTCACTGAAGTAATTGGAAATCCTAGGAGAAAACATCATGACGTCTGTGAGGAAGCTGAAGCTTGGGCGTCATTGTAGCTTCCAACAGGACAATGATGGCAAGCGTACCTCAAATTTCACCAAGGCTTCGTTGCAGAAGAAGTCATGGAAGATTCTACAGTGGCCATCACAGTCACATGACTTGAACCCCATAGAAAATCTCTGGTGGGATTTTAAAAAAGAGGTTGCAGCACGCAAACCGAAGAATATTGGTGAACCGGAGGCCATTGCTCATGAGAAATGGGTTAAGATTCCTCAGGAACTCTGCCAGAAGCTGGTGCCTGGCTATCTCGTTTGCAGCAGGTCATAATGGCAAAAGGGTACTCGACTGAGTAGTAAGGATTGCCATGAAAGGGTTGAATAATTTTGAAACTGCAGAAGTCATTATAAGTTGCATTTCCAGTTGAATTTGGGGAAACCACTTGAAACATTCTTTGTGTTGACATATTCCAATTGCTTTTGTTTGATTTGTTCATTGCACAAGACTGAAAGTTGTTTTTTTTTCGTAAGTTTGCCAATAAACCTGATTTGCAATGGGAGTTGAATAATTTTGATTACACAAAGGAGCGGGGAACACTACGGCTAACTCCTGCTACCACTGATTGGGTCCAGAGGTGGGGGTGGCATTTACAGTTGTGAGCAGGCTTGGGTGAACTCGGGCAAGCTGGGTTCGCACCAAGCCCAGCCTCCTCTAGTCTATAAGGTGTGAAAAATACATGCATCATTTGTGAAATAATAAGTAACGGTATCTGCAAAAGCATGCTTTTACAGCACTATACATGCATGGCGTAGCTAGAGTAACCTTTTTTGGCACTTCTCACGTGGTTATAATTGTTTTTATTTTATTTCTACACTTAGCAAATCATGCAGATGGGAGTAATACATTTAATAAAAGAATTTCAATTATCTGTACTTGTTTCTGGCATTACTTGTAGTGGCGCAGTCTCTCTTTTAGAAAAGTGATTTTTCGGTGTGGCATACTATGTAGTAGATCCCACCATGTCTGGTGCACTCAGTGGTGCAGGTTCACGTGTGTATTTATGTAGAAATATGACACATTCTCTGTCTCACCGTGCCTTTATTCAGAAATATGACACATTCTCTCTCACGGTGCCTTCCATGGAATAAACATTTGGCAAGTCAGCAGCCAATTCAGAATATCTATACTGGCTAGTGTACGTAGGCCTCAAAGAAGCAAAACTCAGAAAAACGGCTTGCATTTAAGAGCCAGTTTGGAATGGGGCTGCGATGGATTCACTTGGACTTATATGGAGGGATCAAAGCTTAATATGCACAGCAGAAGAACCGAAAACTTTCACTGCTTCATATTTCTTCAATTTCAAATTCTATCATTGCATTTCACATACAAACTGATGTCAAAAGCAAAGCCCAATGCTCATGTACACTAGCCCTGAAAGAAATCAGTTCATGTTTGAATAGCTGGAATAAAAGTATACATTCCCCTCACTTGTGCTATATGAAATCACTACCAAGACATGCTATATGAAACCACTACCAAGACATGCAGTCTATTAATTAGAGGGTAGGTGCTTCCCTCAGGTTTATAATCCAGGTGCTTAAAGGGTCATTAAACCCTCGCATTTTTTGTATATATCTACTGTTAGCAAGCAGCAGATATATGCAAAAACATTTTTAACCAGTTGACATCCGCGGTGTTAAACCCCCTTCCCATCCAGGCCATTTTTCAGTATTCAGCGCTGCGGTACTTTAACTGACATTTATTCCGTCATGCAGCGCTGTACTGAAATGAATTTTATACCCTTTTTTGGGGACAGATAGAGCTTTCTTTTGGTGGTATTTATTCACCACTGGGGGTTTTATTTTTTTACTATATTAAGGAAAAATTACCAAAATTTAAAAAAAAAAACAGTTTCCCCTATATTAAATGATAAAACATTTATTATTACCCAATTTTTTGGTAAAATATAAAAGATGGGGTCACGTCGGGTAAAAAGACACTAAACATGTCAAGCCTTAAAATTGCGTGCGCGCGCGACCGTCCGTCCGTTTTTTTACTACGGGCGGACGGCAAGAGGTTAAAAAGGGTTTAAACTTACCTGTGTCTTCGCCGCGTGCTCCCGTCCGAACATCTGAAGGGTCTCGGGCGGCCGCATAGGATCTTGGGGCGTGCGCATGCGCACTTCAGATGTTTGGCCGGGAGACTAGGAGAGACACAAGGTGAGTCTATGGAGCAGCGTGCACCCACACAGACTCCATGGGACATCGGAGGAGAGGAGGACAGAGGAGTCCGCGCTGGATCGGAGACCCGCACCAGCTCTAGAGGGACGGTAAAGAAGAAGATGGTCGAATCAAGAGGCATCATTTAGGGTAAGTCCCTACAGCAGGATTGGGAAGGGGGAAAAAGTTCTGACTTTAATGCCACATTATCTATTATTCTGTAGGACACAGGTAGGCAAACTCGGCACTCCAGCCTTTGTAGAACTACAAGTCCTATGAGGTATTGTAAGACTTGACAGACACAGGCATGACTCCCAGAGGCTGAGGCATGATTGAGTTTGTAGTTTTTGGACAGCTGGAATTCCGAGGCTGCCTACCTTTGTTGTACAAGTAATATTACCTTTGAGCAAAACAGTTGAAGTGGTGAAGAGTGTTCTCAGTGCTACATAGGCATGACAATTGCCATAAGAAGCACATTAATACAAGGTCCGAATTGTTAAGGATGTTTCCTGCAGCCATTAAGCCAGCTCCGGTAGAACTCTTTTAAAATGCTGCAATGAAAACACACAAGGGCGCAATAACCTTGATGGTATATGTACCAGAGACTACCTGTCTCTGTGTCAAAAAAGAGATGGTACACTTACATATGGATCCGGGAACTGAAGGAAGGGCAGCCCAGGAGGAGGATCAAGGTGACCAATGTCAATGTCATCCAAATTGTATAGAATCGTTATCATTTTTAAATGTTCAATCTCAGTGCGCAGGACATACATAAAACTTAAAGATACACATATCGCCCACTACAAGATGTATTTCCATATTTGTGAACGTGTTGGTATATCCATTATAAATCATCCTTTATTTTTTTTATTTTTTTATATTTAATATTATTTTCATTTTTACCATCCTAATAGCCATAGAGTATCTCATTCACAACATCATACATCACTGCATTGTATGTTCTACTACTTTTATTAGCCACACCAGAACGATTTCTTTTTAAAGCTTTCATTTTTACTATTTTTAGCCTCTATTCTATTAAAGTATTTTTAACTGTCCATCCAAGTCCCCTCATGGGTTCTCCATCCCGTGGATTTTATTCTCCACTGAATTATAACAATCATGATCAGTTGTGCAACCGAGTCTCGCCACAGAGATTCACATATGTTAGCCCCGTTTCCCATTCATACTGTTCGTTGTTTTTAGCTCCGCCCATCTGTCATTTTTAAACTTGCAGATTTCCCGCCAAAGTAATATGCTTTTTGTTTGAGCTTGAGAAAGTTATTCCTCGAAACGCATTGCTCCTTTATGTCCCCCAGTTTCAGTAACCATTATTGGCATTGCCTCTCCCTGGCCGCTTGCCACCCCGACAGCACCTTTCCATTACCACTGTCGGACGACCTGAATGCTTCTGACCCCAGCTGGACTTACAGGCATGGTCACTACCACGCACTGAGCGGTCTCACTGCCATCCATAGCCGCTCAGTCCGACTAAGTGCCGTCAGTCCATCTAGTACCGCACTGACTCTCCGCATACACAGCAGGGACACGGACTGAGTCCTTGCTCTCCATCCCCCCTCTGCTTTCCGCCTCGCATCATCCACACTTGGCGGGCACCTTCTGGCTGTACATTTTGTACACCAGCATCGTGAAGTTATATACATTGGTCACCTCGATCCTCCTCCAAGGCCGGCCTTCCTTCAGTTCCCGGATCCATATGTAAGTGTACCATCTCTTTTTTGACACAGAGACAGGTAGTCTCTGGTACATATACCATCAAGGTTATTGCGCCCTTGTGGGTTCACCCACCACACACACTCCCTTAGAGCAGGGATGGCCAAACTCCGGCCCTCCAGCTGTGGTGAAACAACAAATCCCATGAAGCATCTCTCTCCGGGTGTCATGTCTGCGGCTGTGAGAATCTTGCAAAGCCTCATGGGATTCGTAGTTCCGCCACAGCTGGAGGGCCGCAGTTTGGCCATCCCTGCCCTAGAGCATTTATCCGAGAGCGCTGATTGTTTTGTTTTTAAAATGCTGCCGTATTGGTCAAAGTTTTTACTTTTTTTTCCTAAGCTGTAGCAATGCAAGTTTTCTGTGCCCCAGCTGAATTTAATGTGAGTTTGAAACTTGACTTTTAATTTCAGAATGTGGACTGCCAGGTTGTAGTTGAAGCATAACAAGAGTTTTCAGCAGGAGTGACAGGAGCAGGAATACAAAAAAGTGACACAACCAATTCAGTACATTTATTCTCAATTCATAAACCTAACGATTATTTTTTAAAATGAGTGCCCTGGCTGAAATACAGATCTTTATCCATGTGTTAAAGCATTGTCAAGCCTATTCTGTCTGTCCTAGTTCCCTCACTTGCTCTGTTTTTGTATGGTATTGGATTTTTAGTATGGATTGAGTTACAATTTGGTAGGTTACATCTACTAAGGGGTGTTATGCCTAGCCTCGTGCAGGTGGGAAACTGCAATGAGATTATAGAAGTAGCAGACAGCCTATAAACCTAACTTAAAGACGTATTCCACCTTTTCCAACAAATATAATAAATGCGCACACATTCATAAATGTAAAAAAAAATTTGCATTTCCTATTTTTATTTGCATTGGGGCTTGTAAAGAATTGCAAGAGCGATCATTTGATTGTGGGTGCAGTGCTCTAGTTTCTGCAGGCTCTTCCTCTCAGTCCATGCTTGTACCAATGTACAGACTTTTAGTTACAAGGACAGCCGTAGGAATGGGCTACAAGTGTGGTAATGTCATCACACTTCTACTTCACTGAGAACTACAGTACAAGTCCCTTTTCTGCAGTGGCAGGCAGGACTTTTAACTTCCCCATTCACATAACCTGTCAAAGGATCTTTAAATTGATGATGCAGCTGTATGGATGAGGCACAGCCGCACTGAATTCAAAAGATGCTTGGTTGTTGCAGGGAGAAGAACCCTGCGACTCGGTGGCGTGGGGTAGGGAGGAGGTGTAATATGGGTGTAACTTAAAACACGGTCTCAAAAGTGCCCTTTCGGCTGAGCTTTTGTGCTATGCTCTTACACAGCTATAACTGGAGCTTTTTTTCTCCTCCTGCTTTGTAGTTGCCAACTAATAAAGACGCATTCAGGAAGACCTGGAACCCCAAATACACCCTAAGAAGTCATTTTGATGGTGTCAGAGCCCTGGCATTTCATCCTGTTGAACCTGTATTGGTGACTGCCTCTGAAGACCACACTCTAAAACTGTGGAATCTGCAGAAAACAGTCCCTGCCAAAAAGTAAGTATACGGTTAGCATTCATAGAGAGCATAGGATGCAAACTACATCAAATTATATGTTCCCAATCTCCTTTTCTGTGTAACAATAGCAGTAAGTGGTTTGTTGTTGCTCCTCAGCTGGAGGGCATAAAGGTGAGTGTAACACAACTCCTCAGTCAACAAGTCTTCCTTTTTAATTGTTCTGAACCTAACGTATAAATTAACGTTTATGCACAAATTCTCCATGTTATGTCCACTCCTTCAGGTCACTTCCCTTCTGTTGAGGGGGCTAGTGGGATTTTTCAGTAGATGTGAACTTTTTATGCTTTAAATCTCTTATTTCTTACCTTCAATGTAAGTATAGAATAACATTGTTTTTATCCCTGTAGGAGTGCCTCTCTTGATGTGGAACCAATCTATACGTTTAGGGCTCACATGTAAGTTGGCTTTTAAGAGACTCTTAGTACAGCAGCTGTTTTCAGATAAATGATAGTCATAATTGATACACAGTTGACTCTCTTCTACAGTGGTCCAGTTTTATCACTTGTGGTCAGCTCTAATGGAGAGCACTGTTACAGCGGTGGATTGGATGCTACAATACAGTGGTGGAAAATGCCAAGTCCCAATGTAGATCCGTATGACACGTATGGTATGTTGCATTATATTGTTTAAAAGGTAATCTGTACTTTTATACTAAACTCCTCTGATCCACCCCTCTGTCCTCATTTTAGAGACATTATTATTATTTTACAGGAAGTCGAGGAAAATCTTCCTGGTGGGGGACGCATGATTTTTCAAAATCAAAAATGTTTTCTGACTGGAATTGGGCTTTAATAAAGCTATTGTCCCAATGTTCTGCCTTTCACCTCTCATTCATGAGAACAGTGTTCCGCACCCTGGTTCTTGTGACTGTAGATCTGGCTACATCACAGCACAGTGTGAAGTTGAATGGAAACTAAAGCTGTCTAGCAGCTTCCAGTGTGCAGACTTGACCATTTAGAGCTAGTGTAGGAAAGCTGCAGCGTCCTCGCCGGCTTTAAGTTTTGGGGAGAGTATGTTTTACTTGCCAAACTTCTCCTTTAGATAATAAGTGCCCATGGAAAGGGTGAATTTCATTTTTTTTTTTTTGCCCCTTCCCCTGATTAACAGCTAGAGCCAGCCGTTTTCACCAGTGGCTTGGTCTTCAATTTGGCTCGCAGGCTGACAGGATAGGGAGGTAGTTTATTTGTAAAGCTTTTGTTTTTTTATGTTAGAAAACCTTGTCTCCATAAATGCTAATCTAATAACAAAATGTTGCTGCTTCTTCAGATCCAACTGTTCTTGCCGGCACATTGGTTGGACACACAGATGCGGTGTGGGGCCTCTCTCACAGTGGAAATAAAGACAGTCTGTTGTCATGCTCTGCTGATGGAACTGTCCGGTTATGGAACCCACCAGAAAGCAAACCATGTGTTGGCACATACAATGGTAACAAAGGTAGAGTCTGCATAATGTTTGCACAGCCAGAGAGTTGATCAGTTTTGCTCTTATCACCAGGAGGTCAGCAATATGTTGAAGCATGACGAATAAGACCTTCTAATTGCTTAAAGTTTGGGCAAAATAAATATTCATATTCAGTACCTCTCTGTAATACATGCTCATTACCCCATGTGTTAATCCTCTCTTTGCATTCTGGTGGCCTTAATGACGATGGTTACCTCGACAAACGGTATGTGCATCTCCCTAGCAAGGACATTAACGACAATAAAAAAAATTGGCAGTGGTTTCAACCTCTTATAACTCCAACCAAAACTAGAGAAATATTTAGCATTTAAATGCACTTTAATCTGCCCATTGTACTTCCCTAACATAAAGGGTCAGTTCCCATAGCTTTACCGTATGTGTATTACCACATATTTGCCATAATAAGCTTTATTTACAGCATAAATTAGTAATATTTGAAATAAAGATCGATGGGGGAAAAAAATGCACACATTATAGTTTTGTTAATTGAACCTATAGTGTGATCCAAGGTGTAGCAAAACCTCAACATTTCCCTGGCATAGTTCCCACCCACTTGAAGTGTTCAGTATTTCTGTTAACCTTGTGGTGTTCGCATTACTTTTTTTTTATTCTTCATGGTAATAAATGTTTAATTTATTGGTTTTATGGTTGCAGCACAGATGCAAACTTAGAGCATGCCAGGGTAAAATCTGTGCTTGAACAGCTTCTTTGAAGTGCAAAGGTGACCTTAAGGGTCTAATGGAACCCTAATGTCACCTTAAAGAGAACCTGTCACCTCCAATGTGCTATCACATAGGGACTTGTGAGCCCTCCTATGTGATAGCAATGAGGTTAAGTGTAAAACAAAAAGTTAAAAAAACAAAGTAAAATGAAAAGAAATCCCTTGCGAATGTGTCTATACTAATGACATATGCACTACACATGTTAGGTCATGTGTAGTGGACAATTTGGGGTACCATATTTTGTCGTAGTTTCACGGACGCACACAATTTATTATCCTGACATGTTGGGTTTGGGTATCTATTCGCCACAGCCTCCGTTTTTTTATATTTTACACAAAAATTGCGTCTTGTATTTTGCGCTAATAACTTAATATCGTGATGTAGAAATTTGCAACTCCCACCATTTTATTCTACAGGGTCTGTGTTTTCAGGAAATATATAACTCGGGGGTTTCATTTTCAGGCCTAAAATGTGTATTATAACATGTGCAAAAAACGCCTTGGCAGCAAAAGGCTCTGCTACTGACTGCTTGGTGCCAGATACCACAGCATACCTTCAGAGGTCTAGTAGAGTCAATGGCACCATGGATCAGGGCTGTTTTGGCAGTAAAAGGGGGACCTACTTATTAGTCAGGTGGTCATTATGTTATGGTTAATCAGTGTATATGCATCTAATTTCTCACCGGGTTCATTTACATATTGCAATTACATGCACTCAGACCCAGTCGGTTTACCTGCAATTAGGAAAAAGTCTGGTGCGTCTAGGATCCAAATTCGACCTTCTAAACGCAGATAGACCCACTTAAAAGCGGGAACTTCTAAGCACTGGATAAAGGGATCTGGAAGCTTAACCATTGTTTATACTCCAGATTACTACTTCTGCTTTTAGAAAAGCTAAACTCGGAAGCACAAGTGTGGATGATGCCGCGGGGCTTACATGCACTTTAACTGCCTCCGGGCCGGCCGTAGTAGAAAAACGGCCGGCCCGGAGCTCTCTAGATCTGAGCGGGCGTCTTTTAGACGTCCGCTCAGACACGCCCCCAAGCGGGAAATTGCTGTTTTTTTAAAACAGGCAGCGATGCCTGCTACCATACAAGCGATCCGCTTTAGAGCCGGCGGATCGCGTGTATGGGGTGCCGATCGGTGTGTGTCCCCCCCCCGCGCCATTGTCGCGCAGAGCCCGGGATCAGCATGTCGCCTGTGTCCACGGGATCAGAGGGAGCTCGGTACACAAGCTCCCTCCGGTCCCCTCTCCTCTGCAAGAATGCGGAAGTGTTGTATAATACATCACTTCCGCATTCTTGTGTCACTCTCCAGCTTCAGAAGCTGGAAAGAAGCTGATGGAGCAGATCTCTGCTTCATCAGCTTCTTTTGGGGGGTCCTAGGTGACATTAGGGGTCTTGGAGACCCCTGATGTCTCCATAAAGAGGACCTGTCACATATTTTGCTATCACATAGGGGGGTTTTATTAGCCCCCGTATGTGATAGCGATAAAGTTTAGTGAAAAAAAAAAATTTAAGTCCCCCCCACAAAATTTTAAGTTACACATAAAAAAGAATTAAAGAAAAAAAAATTTTTTTTTTAAAGTCCCCACCCATACATACACGCATGCAAACATGCGTCGGGGGCGCATACGTGCAAAAAAGACAATTGCGCCCATTACGCCGCACATGTTACATATCGCCGCGAACGTCCGAGTGAGAGCAATAATTCTAGGGCCATCAATCACTGATAACACTAAACTGATGAGCGGTAAGAGCTTTTAAAGTGTCGCCTGTGGCCTATTTACCCTACGTGACCCGATCTTTTATATTTTACCAAAAAACCGGGTAATAATAAATGTTTCCTAACATAATGTAAAAAAACACTTTTTTTTTCAAAATTTTCTGTAATTTTTCCTAATTATAATAAAAAATTAAAACCCCAGTGGTGATTAAATACCCCCAAAATAAAGCTCTATCTGTCCCCAAAAAATGGTATAAAATTCAGCTAGTAGAGTTTGATTAACATATTGATATTGCTGTTTGATCATTTTTTTTTTTTTTCTTAGAACATGGAATCCCAACTTCTGTAGATTTTATTGGCTGTGACCCAGCCCACGCCGTTGCCTCATTTACAAGTGGTTGCATCGTAGTCTATGACTTAGAAACTTCACAGTCCATGCTGCAGTTATCTGCACCTACGGATTCTAGTAAGTGTGTTGGAACAATCATTATCCTAATGAGGTGATCAGTGTATGTCTGTGACATTCAGTTGATTCTATTTAACTGTTTTTTTTTTAATAGGTATCCCATTCAATGGTTACATAAATAAAGTTGTAAGTCATCCTACTCTTCCTGTTACTATTGCTGCATATGAGGACAGGAACATCAAGTTTTTTGACAACAAATCAGGTACATTGCTCTTATATTTCTATACAGCTGCAGAGTTTTGGATCATAGCATAAAACATTGTTTAAAAAAAGGAATTGGTGTAACAGAACCAAGGTTAGAAATCCAAATCCAGCTTTTATTCAGCATAACGTATGCAGACTAATGACAGCTGGTCTCTAAACATTGCTCAGAACTTCTTTTTTCTAGTATTATGAAATAAGTTCAATAGAATGTATATGCAATGATATTGCTTCAGTCTTTCCTTTTTTTGTTATATAGCTAACCTCTCCCTCTTGTATAGCTTGTAGATATACATGTTTTATGTGTATCTGGGGATATTGGAGCTGCTCCAATGCCTTTCCACATGTATATTCTACACTTTTATCATATTATTTGTTCTTTCAGGCAAGACCATTCATTCAATGGTTGCTCACCTGGATGCTGTTACAAGTCTTGCAGTGGACCCCAATGGAATTTACTTGATGTCTGGAAGTAAGTGTTCTGTTGAGCAATTTTGCCTATATTGTATTATGACAGTAATGTTGACTAAGAAATGTAGCACACAGGAAAAATTGGCAACACCACCGTTTTTACACGGACTCCGGCCTTTATTAATGGCCTTGCTGTGAAAAACTTTAAACAAAAATGTATTTTTTTTTTCTTTTTAACAAACAAAACAATACCAAAATCCTCAGAGTAAGTTCATGTAGACAGTCTTCTGGCTTATATAAGGGAACTTATTGTAAGTAACTCGCGGAATTAAACCCTCAACGTTCGTAAAAGGTGTAGATGGGCAAATGCAGCATGGTTTCAAGTTCAATCAGTACGCCGTAGTGCGACTCTTCTGAGATCATTCTGAGTTCCTAAACATGTGCTCTGACCTGCATTTACCTCCTCCTAAGCAACATCATGCGTCTTCAGGCTGCTTTTGCATTTTCATTGATTTGTGCTTGAGTGTGGCAGTAGGGAATGTAGTTCTAACATGAACAGAAGCCTGTGTACCCAAACCCCCTTAGAGAAGTTACGTCTGAGATCTGGAGTAATGTAATCCAAAAAAAGAAAAGCTCTGCATTTTTTTTTTTGCTGTTTGGTCAGAGCTGTACTGGATTCAACAGATTGAAACAGATTTTTATACCAGAGAATTAAGTTTTTAGTGTTCTACAGATAGATAGACTTAGACTTAAATTGAACTTGTTTTGAAATATGTCATTGCCTTTGTCTTCAAATTGACTCCCTGCTTTACACAGGGCCTCTACTTCTCTGCAGGTGGAGATTAAAGTGACACAAAACTCAGGCGTTAAATTGTAATGCAATCAAGTCCCCTAACTATTAACAAAAATGTCTCTTATTTGTGTATCACTTGGCTGTAGATTCTCTGTATTGGTGCGATCACTCTCCTTCCTTCTAGACTGTTGCTAATTTTGTTCCCCATATGCGTTGTAAAGTAGCCACCGCTCCAAGCTCGCTCCCACGATGGACTACAATGTCAATACAAATTAGTAAACTAAACGTGGGATTGTGGTCCATCACAGGAGCAGTGACTACTTCACAACACTTCAAGCCCCATCTCCTACAGTCAGTCACCACTCCCCGCACGGATTCCCCCCTACCCTCTCCGTTTCTCCAGCTCTGACTGGAGGGACAGACGGGGGGAGGGGGTGGGCACAGCTGCTTCTGCCTCTAGAGTGGCAGAGCCAGCTGTCAATCAGGCAGTAGGGTGGATCCCGACAATATTCTCTGGATCCTAGCTGCAGCGGTGCATTGCGCTGTCGGCATATAGCAGGCAATAGCCGCGTATAGGTTGAGTTTTGGGTCACAGGAATACATTAGTAAATGTCCTCCTGTGACCCTAAAGAGAACTATGGCGAAAAAAGATTTGACCGTAGTTCTATTTTAAATGATGGAGTGGGGCTAAGTGACCATTATTGACTTACACAAAGCCCTATGTATATCCTGTGCTAGGGATCCAAGCAGCTTTCCTGGCATACATTTAAAGACTAAAGGAATATTTAAGGCCTGGTCATGTTTACATTTTAATGAATACCCTGTAAATTCTACCCATGAAACACATTAAAAGGGATTTATCAAAAGTGGAGTAGTCTGAATCTGGAGCAGCTGTGCATGGCAACCATTCAACCTCTCTCTTTCGTTTTCAAATATTAACTGAACAAACTAAAGATAGAAGCTGATTGGTGGCCAAAGGCAACTGCTCCAGATTCTGTCTTCTCCAGTTTTCATAAATTCCCCTCATTGTCTCACAGTTATCTATTCTACAACCAATGGCATCTCATGAGTGTTCCCCGCACTCTCCAGTGATTGATAGCTTCACAGCATACTTGCACATTATGGCAGACTTACCAACTAGTTTGACCACCTCCAGTGCTAGCAGGTCCACACTACCTCTTGTTTGCCACTTCTGCCAGGTCCAGCATCTTTCACTGATGCACTTCTGGGCTTGCATTCTAGGATTAAATGGTTATTTTACAAATGTTAATAGCTTATTAGTGACGGTAAGTAATACCTAGAGATGCTGGAATATGTGCTTAAAACCTATCTCCAGGGGTATAAAAAGAACCCCAAAAAAACTCCTGATTGCAGTGGGGCTACTCCTCTGCATTGGCAGAATTAACTGCTTGTTTATGTCTAGGGTAGCTGTGTAAAGAACTTTTTCTTACCTGATCCCCGCTTCCCCAGCACTCTGCACTCCAGCTTGTAGACTCCCTTGTGGTCCTCACGTTTATAGCCCCTGAATTAGATGTGATGTCAGCGGTTCTCCTGCCATCGGAGTGTAGGGGGAGAGGCTGCACGTTGTTGGTCTTGAAGCCTGCAGCAGCAAGGATCAAGTAAGTAAAAGTCTTTTACACAGCTACCCTAGACTTAAATGAGCAGTTAACCCCTTGCGTTGCGGGGGTAGCCTCATTGTAAGGGGAGTTTGACCTTTGAGGGCCACCCCTCATTCCTATTGGTTAGTAGGTAGGCCCAGGAAGAGCTAGGACCAAGTGCAACTTCAGTCCATGTGGCTGTTTAAAGTACAGTGGTACAAGGTATGTGAGAACGCTGGGGGCATTTCAAGGTGCGCAATTACCATTGTTACCACCTGCCATTATACCTTTTTTTAATTTCATTTTAAAAAAGTATTTACTTATGTACGTTTTTTTACATTGCATTTCCTTTTTGTGAATCTGACACAATAATTTTTCCATTTTCTTCAACAAATTAAAAATGGGATTCATTAAAACCAATATCCTTTCTTACAGGCCATGATTGTTCTATTCGCTTGTGGAATCTGGACAGCAAGACATGCGTGCAGGAGATTACAGCCCACCGCAAGAAATTGGACGAGTCCATTTACGATGTTGCCTTTCACCCATCCAAAGCATTCATCGCCAGTGCTGGAGCAGATGCTCTGGCCAAGGTCTTTGTTTGACCCCCCTTCACCTGCCCTTACCCTTCACACAATGCCACAAGTGCATTCTGGGACGAAATTAAGACACTTGCGGTATTTAAACAAATTCTTACAACATCACTGCCAAGAGGAGTTTGCTCTCATGTTGACACTACAAAACAGCTCCCTCTGCAGGACAGAAAGATACTGGTTACAGAGCGGCAGGCACTACCCTCCCTTTCTTCTCATTTATCAGGATGGTTCTGTGCAGGGCTTTAATTACTGTAATTTAATACTTCCTCTTTTCACAGTAACCAGTATTCACAGCCCCTGCATAGGGTGTCTGTCCTATATTATATATATATAATATAAATATGTTCTTTCTTCTACAGTCCACAGAGAATAAAACAAAAAACCTTTTAATTTTATTTTAATTATTTTGGCTTTCTGCCTTGTATTTTAATTCAGGCCCTGGATGCACAGCTATTGTGACTCAGGAGCCCAACTAACATAAAGGGGGGGTATGGAGCTGCTTCTCAACTTTTCGGCATACCCCTTTAATGAATTTGTTTGCCTGTTCAGATACAGTTACAATGCAATAGATCTCAAACCGCTTTAATACTTGCAATCATTTTAAATGGAACGCTAAAGGACTTGTGATGAGCCAGTTCCACACGCATCAAACCCTGTGTAAACTGCAAAATCTTGTTGGCTTACTTTCTCATTTGTGTGTAGGTAATTACTCGCAGAGCTGGCATTGTAGGTCTCTGTGCCTGGCAGCCAATGAAGGGACTTTATTTTTTTTGACAGTTTTTTTTAATTTATTATTTCCTGGCAACAAAAGCTAGCGTGTAACTTTATATATTTTTAGCATTAATACAATCTGTACACAAGTTTTTTCTTTTTTTTAAAAACCTGTCACATAATTGCAGTGTTTTTATCGGGCTCTGAAGTCTGACAGTGAATGCGTTTTGCAGCTTTTTTTATAGTGCTGCCCTGCTACCTGCATAAGGGGATTTTTCTTGCAAAGGATCATCGTCTGTTTTACCCTGCATCCCTTTATACGGCCAGAAGCCAGTGACGCTGCCAGGAAGCCTGGTGTTAGAGAGGCTTACATATCTGAGTGACTACAGACTAACAACTAGTTATATTGGCTTTTATAAAAAAAAAAAAAATGTTTGTTTCTGCAAGAGGGGTTTCATATGCTCTGCCCACCCCACCCCTTTTTAACAATTGCAGCATTCTATCACTGTGTGATATTTTGTATGTTTACTTTATTTACGAGTTAATTTATCCGAATGTTTCCCAGGTAAGTTACAGTGGCTTATTGTTATTTATTTCAGCTTTGTTTTCTCTTCTTTTTTTTTTCCCCATGTGAAACAGGACTTTTATTATTTTTGGGACATGTACAGGACACTGAGGACATCTGAAGGCTATAACTTACAATGTTTTAAAATAGGATGATTTAAATTAGGAGTTTGTATCAATTTCAAAGGCAGCCATGCAATAAAGTAAAATCTGCCTGCAAGTTATTGCTGGTTGCAGGTATAAACTTTGCTACTTGACCATTACTGAGCTTATAAGGCTCGCTGGGACTTGTAGTTCCTTGCTCCCCCAATATATTTAATGCCCTAGGCCTGCAGTGTGATCACAGGCTTCTTTTTGCATTTGGGGTCTTGTCCTCTCATTTGTTTGTTTTTTTTATATCTTCAAGATTTCCTCTTTTTTTTGCCCCCCGTTTTTTGTTTTTTTTGCCCCAAACATTCAGTTTCTGTATTGACGGAAGATTTTACTTTGTTTTTATGCATGACTGAAATAATTTCACATATTTTTTCTAGTCTTCCACAGAAAAAAAACAAATCTGATCAGTTTGCAAGTTTTGTAAGGTTTTCATTTTACAGACTGCAAATCGGCTAGTTTTTAAGATTGTACCACAAAAAAAAAAATGCAGAAGTACAGTTGTTGAAAAATAATGTATATAAAATGCATATAATAAATATTAAATGGTGTACCTGTATACATTAACTTGCATTGATTGAAACGTCCAACTAACATCGTAACAGGTATCAAGATATTTTTGTAAATAATTTCTATATTTGTTTAATATGAAACGTCTCTTTACGGAGATGATGATTAAAATTGTGTATTTATGGTAACACGACTTTAAGTAGCCTAGCGTAGTTTTCTGTTTTATATAGATGAAATTATACATAAATTCTATATTTTTATTTTATTCTTGAAATAAATTCCTGCATGTAATAACAGTCCTCAATCCTTTTTCCTTAAGAGTCACTAACCTTTCCCATTTTTAGTCGTTCAAAGAAGGAATAAAATGTTTTCATGTGCATTTTCAACTATGTTTAATTCTCTGGTCTAACGTTTAGGCAGTACATTGTTCCACAACATTGTTTTACTAATTCCGTGTCATCTCTATCTGCTCACAAAATCATGTGAATTTCACATCTACAGTGCTTTCAGAAAGTATTCAGATCCCCTTCACTTTTTTCAATTGTGTTATGTTGTAGCCGGATACTATAGTTGTTTAAATTCTTTTTCTCTCTCATTAATCTACACTCAGTACCCCATAATGACAAAGTGAAAACAGAATTTTTTAGCAATGTTTGCAGATGTATAAAAAAACGAAAATATCACATTGGCATAAGTATTCACACCCTTTGCAACACCCCTTGAAATTTAGCTCAGCTCACTCCCATTTCTCTTAATCATTGCTGAGATGTTTCTACACCTTGAATGGAGTCCACTTCTGGTAAATTGATTGGACATGATTTAGAAAGTCACACACCTTTCTATAGAAGGCCTCACAGCTGACAATCCATACTGTATCAGAGCAAAAGCCATGAGGTCAAATTAGCTACCTGCAGAGCTCAGAGACAAGATTATTGCAAATCACATATCTGGGGAAGGCTACAAAATATTTCTCTCCTCATTGCAAAACACACAAAGGCCTGTTTGGAGTTTGCAAAAAAGCACCTGAAGGACTCTGACGATGAGGAACAAGATTCTCTGGTCTGATGAAACCAAGATTGAACTGTTTGGCCTCAATTCTGAAGGTTATGTCTCTGGAGGAAACCAGGCACCTCATTACCTGCCCAATACCTCCCCAACAGTGAAGCATGGTGGTGGTAGCATCATGCTGTGGGGATGTTTTTCAGCAGCAGGGACTGGGAGACTGGTCAGGGTTGAGGGAAAGCTGAATGGAGCAAAGTACAGAGATATCCTCAATGAAAACCTATTTCACAGCACGCAGGACCTCAGATTAGGCCAAAGGTTCACCTTCTAACATTACAATGATCCTAAGCACACAGCCAGGACAACACAGGAGTGGCTTAGGGACAACTCTGTGAATGTCCTGGAGTGGCCCAGCCAGAGCCCTGACTTGAACCCTATTGAACATCTCTGGAGAGACCTGAAAATGGCTGTCCACCGACTGTCCCCATCCAAACCTGACTGAGCCTGAGAGGATTTGAAAAGAAGAATGGCAGAGAATTCCCAAGTCCAGGTGTGCAAAGTATGTCGCGTCATACCCAAAAAGACGAGGCTGTAATTGCTGCCAAAGGTGCTTCAACAAAGTACTAAAGGGTCGGAATACTGAAGTGCATGTGATATTTCAGTTTTTTTTCTTTTTAATAAATTCAAACATTTCTAAAATTCTGTTTTTACTTTGTCATTATGGGGTACTGAGTGTATATTAAGGAAAAAAAGAATTGAAACAACTGTAGAATCCGGCTACAACATAACAAGATTGAAAAAAAGTGAAGGGGGTCTGCAACACTACAGCACAAGATGCCTTTTCACAAACTAAGACATTTCTCAAATGAGATTTTTCGATGATTTCATACCTAGACTGAGCTTAAAGGTTTTCAGTCTAATTTTTTTTTTATCCAGAGGTAACCTACTTAAATATCAGACATTTCAGAGTTGAGAAAAGGCCGACTGCTGCATTTTCAATTGTATGGTGTGACCACTCTATGATGAATAACGTGGGTCAATTTATTAAACTTTTTTTTAAGACAAAGGATTTTTAGAGCAAAGTGAGTTAGCCAAAGAGACAGCACAACTGGGCCCCCCTGCTTTGAGGTTCCCTTTTGTCTGATTGAACCCTTGCAGACGTTTAGTAAGCAGCAAGGCACTCCTGACTCATTTACTTGTGTGTTCACAAATCCCTTTAAACAAGCTTTTTGCCTTTAAGGGTATAGCAAAGGAGGAACATGTGAGAATTGGCCTAAAGCTCCAGCTTCTGATCAGATAGTAAACTACATAATATTTATATGCAGTATTTCATATTTACATGGTTAAAAAAAAAAGGTTTAGTTCCGAATGTAATAAAGAATATGTATGAAACCCACTATAAATTCCTATTTAAATGATAATTTCCCTAATGAGTGTTATTGCTGGGGTTTATTTTTTTCTTTGGTTTTGTTTTGTTCCTGAGCTTTGGTATAGACCAACAAATGAGAAACAAGACCACCTCCAAAAAAGGTGGTATGACCCCCCTCCTCGTTTGTTGGTCTGTTGCCTTGGGTAGAGACTGTCATTAGATCGTCCGGATGTTTATACCTTTTTTAGATGGGAATGTTATAGTCATTTCAGTGTTTAGGGGGCTACTATACAGACCTCCATATTTGTGTATTCTACTTGGGTATACCAGCTTGTTCCAGGTCAGTAATTCACTAGCATTGCAAAGGATTTTTGAGACGAATGGTGAAGGATAAGAATGACAGCCTGAAGGTTGGTCCTTTGTAGACACAAGTAATCAGTGGTTGGGTGAGGGGATGCTAATAGACCTACACATCAGAGGTCACACTTGCCTTTGCTGAGGCTGTCGCTGCCCATGTGGTGAGGCCAGGCACTGCTCTCCATGGAATGCAGATACACAGAAAAAACATCTTAATCATACATTAAGGTACTCTGGATGCAATACAGATATAAAGGGTTATGTTGCTGCATTTAGGAGCTTGAACAAAGCTCTAAAGCAGTGGTTCTCAACCTTTTTAGGGCCAGGACCCCTTGGTAACATTTGCCAAGTTGTGGTGACCCCCAACGGTAAAATTTAGGGATGACGCGGCTGCTGCAGCGACATCTGGCGGCGTGGTGGGAGAACTGACACCGCTGCGCTAGGAGAGGGCTGAGGAGGACTCTCACCAAGCACAGCAGAAATCACACAGCGACCCACAGGTTGAGAACCACTGTTGTAACAGCTAAAATGGCAAACCATATAACACAAGCCGAGGGTGTCAGCTTTTATTATTAATAATAACAATGATAATCTAATAGTGGGAGACTCCCGGCAACCCCTGGCAAATTGTCAATCGACTCCCGAAGGGGTCCCGACCCACAGGTTGAGAACCGCTGCTCTAAAGACAGCCTAGTAAAACCCATTCCACTCCCATCATGCCTAAGCTTTTTGCTGGGGTCTTAGAACAGACATCATCTCTCTGCTCTTAGAGAAGCAAACAGATTCTTCCTTTTTTTTCTACAAAGATTCTGCGTTTGATGCAGATCCACTGGGGCTCATCTTGCAGCATTCCAAACCAGCTGATCTTTGGCGTAGGTTCGGAGGTTGTGCCTGGACCCCACTGTGAAACAGAAGCAGGGCTGGCTTGTTATGTGTTTTCTCCGGACTGAACTCTGCTGCAGGCTTTCTCCTAGACCCTTGTCTAGGAGATCCTAGGCCTTGTTCACACCTAGGCGTTTATACGTGCAGTTTTATGCATGCTAAGACACTCGGCAAAGAAAATTCCATACATTTCAATGTTCACACCTCAGAGATGCACCGCACTTAAAAAAAAAACACGTTGCACAGGAGTTAATTTTGGGGAATATACAGCGTGTTTTTGGGCCATAGACTTTCATCGCAAACTTGTGCATTTTGAATGTGTGTTTAACGTGCATTTGCTGTGCGTTTTTGACAGTATGGAAAGACCTCACCTTCCAAGTGACATGCCCGCATCGCTTGTCATACATGGCCCAGAAATGC